AAATAACTTAGGACATGTGCGAGTTAGGCTAAGTTGATGCTAAACCAAATGGGAAATTTTTTGCGATTTTTTGCACTGCACACATTTATCAACACGTATCGACACATCACTACATTATCGGCACAAATTAGGATTTCCCTTATTTAGAACGCAACTTAGCCTAACTCGCACACGTCCTTATTATATCAATTATATATTTAATTTTTTTGTGTGATATATTATTAAGTAAAGATTATATAAGCTCTATCAGTTGCATAAATGAACCCATTATAATATAAACGTTTTCTGATTAATATAAATAAGCAAGTGCCTAAATGAGACAGAGTGAATGTTCTATTAGATAATACTAAGCAAAATTTTATGAAATACATTTATCAATAACTTTATTTAGACGGATATATTTACCCAAAATTTTAGCTTCTAAACAATATTGCCTATATTTATTTTAATTTATTTTACTCTATAAAATTTTTGTAAAATATAAATTATTACAGTGTATTTCGGCGTAAAAATCATATTCCAACTTTTATTCCTTTATCTAGTCAGGCAGAAAGTTGCTCGACCGTATTTAAGCCAGCCGAAGCGTTTTGTACAAATTGAACTTGCCAAATATTTGCTAAATGTAAAAATATAAAAACAAAGAAAAATTTTATAAAAATAAAGTTTGAAATAAAATAGTGTAAAAGTTTTATATAACTAAAACCGAATGTGAGTTTACGTATATTTTATATGTCATCTCACCGCTACACAAACTTCGTGGTTATGTGTAAGTAGATAGATGTTTGTACATATAAAACTGGTATGCATTTGAAAGACTTTCCTACGGCTTTAGAGTACGGCTGCATAGAAAGAAGAATATAAAGTTGTTGTAGCTAAAAACTTAAGCAACTATTAATAAAGCATTTAAAGTGCAGAACATAAAAAATTCAACTATTGTACGTAAAAATTTTTTATGATTTTCCTGAACTTGTCTCACCCGGAATGTGATTGCTTTTCGAATCGAATTTTATTTTAACATCAATGTACACATATTTGCACTTTTTCCTGCCCCCAAAGTTGCATGATGAGAGTTTGAACAATTTTTGAATTTTGTAGACAGCACACAATAGTGGAAAAAAGCGCAAAATTTTAAAAACTAACAAAAACTGTCTTCAGCAGATTTGGTAGTCACATTTAAATTGAAAGTTTTATCAACTTTATCTGCCAGTAAAAATAGTTAAAATCAAATTGTCATAAACTCGGATTTACTCCGCAATTAATGTGTGCATTTCAATTATTGCTTACCTTCACCATTTTAATATTAAAATTTAAGCATTTAAATTGAAATTTATTGAATTTAATTTTTTCACATGTGTTCTGTGTGTTTGGTGTTCAAATTATCATCTTTTTTTTATTTTATTTCATTTAATAAATATTTAATGCAGAAATATAAATAAAAATCAGACGCAACACGAAGATGATTATTATTTACACACAATGCCGTATGCCGAAAATGTTACTCATACGTCAGGAGTTTGTATGAAAATTTGCCTCGAAGCAATCGTTTGTTCACATATGTGTGCATATGTATTTGTAAGTCAAGCAAATTCAATTTTAAACAAAGTACAACCAATATCTCACAATCAGTATTTCAATGCGTTATTCGCAGTTTAACCGCCGTTTTTATTTCATTGCACGGTCTTACAACATGGTCATGCCATATTCAATTGTATGGCCCACATGACACAATTGCTTTTATGCGTAAATTTATAAGACTTACGCGCGGCTCCCTTTGCTGATTTTTTTATAAACCGTTAAACATTCAAACGTTAAAACAAATTCTAGCCACTTTTTATGATTCTGATGTAAAAGTTGTTACAAAATATATATTATAAATATATCAAAATGTAGGATTGTTTTAGTCATAAAAGCTAAACATCTAAGGCTTACCAAAGTTACAAACCACTGATACCTACCAAACAAGATAAGTAGAAAATACAATTTATGATTTATTATACAGTTGCTGTTATTGTTATAACTTACAGTCCAAACCTTAAGTCCCCAGAAGTATAGAATTAATCAAGCAATTAAAGTCGATAAATCAAGCGAATAATATTTGTTGTAAGTTGGTGCAGTGCAATAAGAGACGAAGGCAATAATTATTGATGCTGCATTTTCCACGCTGAATTCTTTAACACGTACTGAATCTGTATCCAGAACACGAACCAATGCAAAAAATTTTCCAAATATTACGTACTGCATTTATGACCAAAGTTAGACTCGATGAGAAAATTCTCCAAATATTTGTACTACAGATCATTCTACATCCAAATATAGAGTTCTTAATTAAGACTTTTTTCAATTGGTGTATTTAAAATATGTAACAATTAATTCTTCACCCTACTGTAATAGTTCTGTTCTTTCTCCACCGTTTTCACTTTTAAGGTTAAGAGAATCGGACATAATTCTGACAGTGGAGAGTGAAGTTGAGTTTTTGATTGGTCATTTAGCGTACTTGTTCAATTTTATAATATTCTATTTATACCATATTAAGAAGAAAAACATCATAATCACAATTAACATTTTTAATTTGCTTTCAATCAATCCCACATAAGTTTTGGGAACATATAATAGGGACATATGATGAGTGATAACAGTATTCTTACTGTACAGAGCATTTGAATTGGTGCTCAATAACTGTAGAATTATGAAGAATACATGTTTTAATAAAATTCAGCTGGACAGTACCAAAAACCATTGTGTAAGACTTTAAGTCACTAATTAATAAAGATTCCAGCCATGCACCGTGAAGGATATAGTATTGCGAATCTGATTCCAGTGATTTGAAGACAGTTTAAGGCAAGTAGACTTAAATTTAGAAAACTGAGTTAATTTTCTTATGTGAATGCTTTCTACAGTCCACAATGTGAGATATTAAACCACTAAAGCTATTTCTAAGGAAAAAATAATAAAGATATTGAGAATCTGATTTCAATAATAAAGTGAATAGATTTAGGTCTTAGAACACTTAGTTTATTTAAACCAGAAACCATTGCTAACAATTAACAGAATAAGCAGGTATATAATCGCGAAAGTCATGGTTAAAGAGGGGAATTATTGAAGCATCGAAATGCAACACTTCGAAGTATAATAAAAGGTATTGAGGAAGCGTCTACCCCTAAATGGATGCTAAGTTTTATGGTAGTGCGTCAGTTCGGAGAACATCACAAGGTAGTTCAAGTGGTCATATGAGGCTCTTCAAGGCAAGGGCCAGTAGGTAATCGGTAAGGCTAATAAGGCTTAGGTGTAGACTAAATAGAAAGAGTGTATGAGAGCAAGGAGCAAATATGTTGCTTTTTGTGAAAATATTTGATTTTACAGTTTGGCTGATTATACTAGTCAATTTTTGAATCGATATGTTTGAAGGTGGTGTTGTGATTGACATATCTTACATAAATTGTAAAGTTGTGTTTGGGGTATAGCACGACATTAAGATAATTCAACTTGTCGACAAGTTGTATTGAAAAATAGTACAACTTTTTCAAACTTATTTTAAGTAATAAATTTTTTATTGAAAATAAATGGTAAATAAGAATTAAAATCAAAACTTTGATAAATATGCCGTATGTATGTTTATTGAACAGTATTATTGATTAACATACAACTCAATAGTATTTTAATTATTGTTGAAATTGTTATTGTTAATTTCTGAACATGATTATCTAAGATACTCAAAGTATTGGACAACTTGATAAAAATATACATATCATAGGATAAAATGATTATAGGCTATATATATATATAGTACACACACAATAAATTACTCTAATTGGAGAGTTAGGTATATAGAATTTCAGTCAATCGAGTAAAATAGCTATATAATATTTTCATTAAATAGTTCTTTTATAATTTCTTTCATGTTTTATGTTTATTTAATTAA